TAGACAGAGTTAGATAAAGACACGGACAGAGGGAGGCAGCCAGAGACACAACCCACGGGAGAGGTGCACCCAGAGGTCGGGAGAGCCAGAGGTCAGGGCAGAGGATCCTGTACCACTGGTGCCTTTGGCAAATCCCTTCCGATCCCAGCCTCAGCCTTCTTCTCTGTACAATGGGAGTGACCCGTGTTCCTCCCTGCTGGAATTATGGGGCCCCAGTCAGTGATCTCCTGCACATCCTGGGCAGCCCAGGGACCTAGGAAATGACAGGTGTAGCCCCAGTCGATCCCCTCCTTTCACCCCTCCTCACTGAGGACTTCCCCCGAGCCAAGTACACTCCAGGACCCAGGGTGCAGCGCTGAGCAGATCAGGCGGCACCCTCACCCCCGCCCTGTGAAGCCACCCTGTCTGTCACTATGGCTGCTGCTGTGGCTGCTGTTAACCTTACAGAGGCGGAAGCTGCGATTTCAGCAAGGACATCCTCGGTCCAGGCAGAAGATTCTCAGCTGGAGAGAAGGGTCTGGAGTTCCCACCCAGACCGGCCTCCCAGGACCGACTATGTCTGTGAATAAAAGAAAAGAAATTACTTCTTTCAGACAGGTCTGCAAATAATAAATAAATACATAATATGAGATAGAGGCTCTCCATGTGCCAGGCAGTGGGAAGACAGGGCTGGAGGGTCGGTGGGACAAGGAGCCTTCTCTGCTGTGAGTTCATTATTATTAAATGGTCCCTCTTATTATCAGCTCCTAGAAGGGGGCAGGGCATGCAGGCCCTGGGTGGTGGAGGGGATCAGGGCTCCCAGGAAGAGGCGCAGCTCCCATATCTCCAGCCTTGCCCCAGGGCCAGGGTCTGTGCCAGGTGTGGGTGGTGGGTGGGAAGGGGTGGGTGAGTCATCAGGGCCAGCCCCGCCCTACTTTTACTTAAGGTCCCCAGCAGTCCCCACCACCACCGATGCCTGGCCCTGTCCCAGTCATGTCTGTGAGTGCTCCAGAGGCCCAGCACGGGGCCATGTAGGGAGGGGGCTGGGGGCTCCCCTTTTAAAGGAGCAAGTGGGCAGTGGGTGCACCGTGGGTGGTCCTGGGCTGTGGCCTCTGGGTGGCCCCCGATCCTGATTGTCCCCTCTCCCTCTTCATGGCTTCCTCTGGGTCCCTCTTTGAGCATTTTCCTGTTTTGCTTGGTTGCCCTCCCCATCTCTTTCCCTGTCTATTTCTATTTCTTTTCTGCCTCTCTGCCACCCTTTTCTCTCCCCCTGATTTCTGCCAGTCTCCGTCGTGGTCGGCTCCTCTGATGGGTGACCCACCTTCTGCCTCACCGGCTCACAGTGGTCCCCGCACCCCACTCTTGCAGAACGTCCCCCACAAGACCTTGCTGCCCGAGGGCATCCGCCCTGGCACGGTGCTGAGAATTCGTGGCATGGTTCCTCCCAATGCCAGCAGGTGAGGCCCCAGTACCTAGGGGTAAAGAGTGCAGGTCCCAGGCTCAGCTGACCCCCAATTCTTGCAGTCCAGAAGTAGGGGCCCTGGGTCATCTGTACCCACCAGGCTAGGAGTCCCTATACCATATCTGACCTCAAATCTGATGTATTTGATTATTTGCCCCATGAATTTGTGGCTGGAGTCCCTAAGTTTCCCTAAGAATTTGGGGGTCCTGGGCAATCTCAGGGTTCCTATAGTCCTGTGACTTCCATGTCTGGGTCCCGGGGAACTCTGGAAATATTCCAAGTCCTGGAGACACCCTGGACCCTGGGAGTCCTTGCCAAGTCGTCCTTTGCTTCCTGGCTGAGGAACTTTGGGCCTTCTGGCTTCTGGGGTGCCCTGGAAATACTGGGGTTCCTGGTGTTATTCTTTGTCTTGTAGAACCTGAGGGCTCCCTGGGCATCAGGAACACCCTGGCCAACACCCAGACCTCATGGGCAGCTCCCAGGCTCTTTGGAGAGGAGGGCGCCCTGCACATAGTGACTTTAGTCTGGGTGGGTTCCCCCCAAGGGCCTCATGACATTTTGGCTGCCTTCGGAATCTGGGCTCCCTGGCCATTAGCCTGCCACCTCCCCTTCTGTGGTGTGTGCCTGTCTTCAGGTCCCTGTCCATTTGGGGGTGCTCTGGGCATGGGGAGTCCCAGCCTATTAGCCTTTGACTTTGCTCTCGGTGGTTTCTGAGTCCTGCCTGCCACCACCCCCCACTTCCAGGTTCCATGTAAACCTGCTGTGCGGGGAGGAGCAGGGCTCCGATGCGGTTCTGCATTTCAACCCTCGGCTGGACACCTCCGAGGTGGTCTTCAACAGCCTGGAGCAAGGCTCCTGGGGCCGCGAGGAGCGCGGGCCGGGCGTTCCCTTCCAGCGCGGACAGCCCTTCGAGGTGCTCATCATCGCGTCCGACGACGGCTTCAAGGTGCGTCTCTGCCACAGGGGCATGGACGCCGAGACCTAGGTCCCTGGAGCAGAGGGTTCCGCGCGGCTCCGGGATAGAGAGAAAAGGCCAGGAGGGCGGAGGGGTGGAGGAGGCGTGGCCAAGGCGGGACCGGCGCGTCCCCAGAACCCCCCTCCCTCGCCTAAGCAACTCCCACCCGGGCCCCAGCGAGACAGCAGGGTCAGGACGAGGCGGCCCCCGCCGGGTACCCAAGGGGTAGGCGCCCTAGCGCGAAGCCGTGGCCCAGACTCGCCGTCCCCGACCCTACTCCCAGTTCCTTGTGCCTGAGGTCCGGGCTCGGAGGCAGGGGGAGGGACGGGTTGGAGGCCGCGCTCAGGAATTCGTCCGAGCAAGGATGGGGGTGGGGGCGGCGGCAAATCCCCCACCACCCAGGCCTTACGCGAGTGCGCCTCCCTCCGCTGCGCTTTAAATAAGAATATCGGCCGGGCGCGGTGGCTCACGCCTGTAATCCCAGCACTTTGGGAGGCCGAGGCGGGTGGATCACACGGTCAAGAGATCGAGACCATCCTGGCCAATATGGTGAAACCCCGTCTCTACTAAAAATACAAAAAAATTAGCTGGGCATGGTGGCGCGTGCCTGTAATCACAGCTACTCAGGAGGCTGAGGCAGGAGAATTGCCTGAACCCAGGAGGCGGAGGTTGCGGTGAGCCGAGATCGCGCCATTGCACTCCAGCCTGGGTAACAAGAGCGAAACTCCGTCTAAAAAAAAAAAAAAAAAAAAAAAAAAGAATATCCATTACCAGCACTAAAAAAGCCGTTTCATGCTGTGCCACACAGTAAACCGGTTTGATCCTGACGACAAGAGTTAGAACAACAGCCCCATTTTCCCAGTGGGGAAACTGAGGCCCAGAGGGGGTGAGTGATTTCCCCGGGGCCACAGCACGGGCCTCCGCAATCCTCACCAGCGACCCTCCCCTGCAGGCCGTGGTTGGGGACGCCCACTACCACCACTTCCGCCACCGCCTGCCGCTGGCGCGCGTGCGCCTGGTGGAGGTGGGCGGGGACGTGCAGCTGGACTCGGTGAAGATCTTCTGAGCGGGCCGGTGGCCTTGGATGCTAATAAAACGTGAACTCGACCGAGGCGCACCTGTGTCTGTGTCCGGTTCACTGAGATGAGCAAACTGAGGCCCAGAGAGGCCAAGATACTGGCTGCGGGCCACACAGCGAATCCGAGGCGGGGGCGGGCTTTGAACCTGCGTGTACTTAGGACATATTTTGACTACGAAGGCCTGAGGGTCGCCATCTGGGAGGGAGTGGGCCTGGGGCGTGTCCTGACGCAGCATTTGTGCAAAGCCGGCCAGGCGGGAATGCGGTGGGCGGATCTGTTGGCGTTAGCGGCGCGGAGGTGCTCACCGCAGGTCTCGGTGTCCCCACTGCAGATCTAAGGGGCGCCAACATGGGTCCATCCGCAAAGGGGGCCAATGAGTCCCACCTTTCTGGTCACCTGTGGGCCCCAATTGTCCGCGCGGAAAGCGTGTTACATCTCCGGGTCCCTCCTCCCCCTGGCCCTCATCTGTCCCACCCTCTTCTCTCCTGGCCTCCCGCCCCCAGAGTCGTCCCGGGTGGGGCTGGGCAGCCCGATGGGCGTCTCCCGGCTCTGTCTGTTCCCGGAGTCCCGACAGGTCCCCGCCTGCGCAGCCTCGGGGCAGACGCGATGGCAGCGGCCCGGGCTGTGCGGAGCAGCGGGAGGACTCGAAGGGCGGCGCGGGGTTTCCGTGGCACAGCGAGCCCGCTTCCCACGCGCCCTCCGCCCTCCCCGACGGCCCCGCCCTGGTCACTGTGACGGGAGGGGAAGCGGGCGCCAAGTCCAGCCCCGGCCCCAGTGTCACTGTCCGGGTTCAGGGCGTCGTCAGGGCGGGGTTGGGGTGGGAAAGGCTGGGAACCTGTGCGCCCCGAGCCGAGCCCGCACCCTCGGCCTGCAGCGACCGCAGGTCTCAGCCGGGGACGGAGGAGCCAGGCCCGGGCTGCGAGCGGAAGCTGCACGTGGGTGCTCGGGGCCAGGCGCTCCCGCCCCTTGGTCCTGAGCCACGCCTTGGTGGGGCGCGCCGGGCGTGGGCCCCGATCCTCTGCCCCCTGGCGGCGGCCGGCCGCATTGCAGCCTGGACCGAGGCGGACGCAGAAGCTCGGGTGGTTCCTGGCCTGGCCTGAATCTGAACCTGGAGTGGGGTGTGGACGCCAGGTTCGCCGCGGGGCCCAGGCGTGTGCAGGACCCGGGGTTTTCGGCCCCTGCGACTCTCTGGCTGGGCGGCCCCGCCCTGCGCCCGGCTTTGGAGCGGGTGGGCGGCGGTCACCGGGAGCCCCGCTCAGGTGAGGAGGCCTGGGAGAGGCTGGGTTCTCCTAGTCCTCGGGGCTCCTGCTTGAATGAGTTCACTTTTATTTCGTTTGGCTGTGTCGAGTGGTTTCAAATACTGTTTTTTTCCCCGTAAAGATAACATATGCCCTAAATCAGTGCTTGGGGCATAAGCAGATCTATGACGATTGGTCAGATGACTAGATGGATGAGCAATACATGAAGTGCATGACTCAACCAAGGAAGGGGAGAGTGGGGAGGGAGCAAATGGACACGCACTATTAGACTCCCTCAGACATTTTATTAGGGGCTTAGAAAGGAGTCCCAGGAAATCTTTCTGTTTTCTCATGAGTTATACAGCTCCAGGAATAGATTAGATCTGGACATAAGACAAGGTGACATCACCATGGACTTCCACCGTGTCCACCCTCTGGAAGGCTGAGAGGCGATGGGCGAAGTCAAAGAGATGCTGACCGTTGGCGAAAACCTTGAAGCGATCCAAGCCACAGCGAATGGACAGCTGCAGGGAGAGGGCGGGTGTGAGGCCGGGGCCGGGACGGCGCCTTTGGAGGGAGGTGGGAAAAGAGAGCCCAGACTCACATCAAAGAACTGTCCGGGACCAAACGGGTTGTAGGAAATGTTCCTCTCCTCAGAGCCCCACGAGCCATTCACCAGGCTGTTCCGGACCACGGCACGGTCACTGATACGGGGATTAATGTGCAGAGCGATGTCCCCTGAGGAGCCCACCTTGAAGTTGATGGTAAAGCTGGGGACATAGAGAGAGGAGGGAGTCAGAGGGAGCCCACGGGGGAGGAGCCTGTGGACTAGATCTCTGGGTCCCTAAAGGAGGAGCGGGCAGAGGGTCGAGACTGTTGGGTCTGAGGGAGGAGGGGCTGGGGGTTGCCACCTAGTCTACGCTCCATACCTCTTGCCTGTGGGGGGCACAAAGCCCTTGATGATGATAGTTCTTCGAGCTGTGAGCCCTCCTTGCAACCTCCCGAAATACGGCACAGGCTGAGGGAAGAGAACGCGGGGCCCCATTCTCTGTCAGTTTAGCAAGCCAGATCGGGGAAGAAATTTCCTTTTCCTTTCCTCTCTTTTCCTCTTTCCCTCCCCTCCCTTCCCCTCTCCTTTCCTTTCCTTTCTTTTTTTTTTTTTTTTTTTTTTTTTTTGAGACGGAGTTTCGCTCTTGTTACCCAGGCTGGAGTGCAATGGCGCGATCTCGGCTCACCACAACCTCCACCTCCTGGGTTCAGGCAATTCTCCTGCCTCAGCCTCCTGAGTAGCTCGGATTACAGGCACGTGCCACCATGCCCAGCTAATTTTTCTATTTTTAGGAGAGACGGGGTTTCACCATGTTGACCAGGATGGTCTCGATCTCTTGACCTCGTGATCCACCCGCCTTGGCCTCCCAAAGTGCTGGGATTACAGGCTTGAGCCACCGCGCCCGGCCTCCTTTCTTTTTTTCTTATAAGAGATGGGGTCTCACTCTGTCACCCAGGCAGGAGTGCAGTGGCATGAGCAAGCCTCACTGCAGCCTCAAACTGCTAGTCTCAAGCAATCCTCCCACCTCAGCCTCCCAAACTGCTGGATTACAGGCGTTGAGTCACCATGCCCAGCCTTGCAGGAACACATTTGCTTTCGTAGAGAGGCTCCCTCTGTCACCCAGGCTGGAGTGCAGCGGCACAACCTCAGCTCACTGCAACCTCCACCTCCCGGGTTCAAGTGAATCTCCTGCCTCAGCCTCCTGAGTAGCTGGGATTACAGGCGTGCATCATCACACCCAGCTAACTTTTGTAATTTTAGTAGAGAGGGGGATTCACCATGTTGGCCAGGCTGGTCTGGAACTCCTGACCTGAAGTGATCCACCTGCCTTGGCCTCCCACAGGGCTGGGATTACAGGTGTGATCCACCGTGTCCAGCCAAGAACAAATTTTATGAGGGTCCCCGATCCTCCTGGAAAATATCCCCAGCCCCTTCCACTCCCCAACCCCGACCCCCAATTCTACCCTCCCCCCACCTCCCAACCCAAACACCCTCAGCCCACTCTCTTCTGGCTGTCTCAGGTTCCCCAGGGATCCATGCCCCCTCCCTACCACCTGTCTCTGTTTTCCCCTAAGCCATACCGGGTTGAAGACTGGGGGTCCCTCCATAGACTGTGAAGGGAGAAGAAGCGATATTATTCTCCAAGAGTCGACAGATATGTACAACACACCCACTAGACTCCAGTGCTTCTCCAGGTGCTGGGTTAGTACAACTGGGGGCTGCAACCCCTCTTAGTTCCCCCCACCCCAATTCCCACCATTTCCACACGCCCCCACCCCCCGGGGACCTCCCAGCTCCCGTACTCACGGGCAGGCTGTTCAGCTGTTGAGGGAAATGTCCAGGACCCTGAATGATAGATGGAAGACAGGGAGGGTGAGCGGGGTTGAGGGACCCCCCCTGGGGGGAGGACCCTTACCCACCATCAGGCACTTACAGGGTAAGCTGGCATCATCTGGGGTCCCTGTGGGCACAGAAGGAGAAAGCAGTTATGAGAGGTCCCAGATTTATGACTGAAAGATGTCGAGGGTGCCTTCCCTGGGGCAGCCCACCACCACCACCACCAGCACCATGCCAGGGAACTCTGGCATCAAAGGGTGGTACCCCATGTTGAGGGATCGCCAATGCCCAGTGAGTCACTCCAAAGCATTAGGACAATGCCTGGCCCATTTCATTCTCAGCCCTTCCCCGGGCTGTCCCCCTGCTGTCCCGGGACCCTCACTCGCTGACCTTGATCTCTGTTTCTGCCTGTCTGGCTCTGTATCTCAGTCTCTGTCTTGGCCACATCTCAGCATAGGGGCTTCCTTCTGCTCATTACCTTTATTTATTTTTTTTTTTTTTTAGTTTTTATTTATTTACGTATTTGAGATGGAGTTTCGCTCTTGTTGCCCAGGCTGGAGTGCAATGGTGTGATCTCGGTTCACCGCAACCTCCACCTCCCAGGTTCAAGTGATTCTTCTGCCTCAGCATTCCGAGTAGCTGGGATTACAGGCAGCTGCCACCACCCTGGCTAATTTTGTATTTTTGGTAGAGATGATGTTTCTCGGTGTCGGTCAGGTTGGTCTTGAACTCCTGACCACAGGTGATCCGCCCGCCTCGGCCTCCCAAGCCTAACACCTTTAATGTTTACTCTCTCTCTTTCCCTGTCTCTGTTTCCTCCTTTTCTCTTCTCTTTGTAATTAACTCCTTTCTGCCTTGATTTCTATTCTCAGCCAGCTATTCCAAAGGCCCATTAAAAGTAGCTTTATATAGCCAGGCGTGGTGGCAGGTGCCTGTTATCCCAGCTACTTGGCAGGCTGAGGCAGGAGAATTGCTTGAACCTGGGAGGCGGAGGTTGCAGTAAGCTGAGATCCTGCCACTGCAGTCCAACTTGGGCAACAGAGCAAGACTCCATCTTAACAACCACAAAAAAGTAGCTTTATAGGCTGGGTATGGTGGCTCATGCCTGTAATCCCAGCACTTTGAGAGGCCGCTGTGGGTGGATCATCTGTGGTCAGGAGTTCAAGACCAGCCTGCACAACATAAGGAGATTCCTCAATTTAGCTGAGCATGGTGGCATGTGCCTATAATCCCAGCTACTCAGGAGGCTGAGGTGGGAGGATCACTTGAACCCAGGAAGTTAAGAATGCAGTGAGCTGTGACTGCACCACTGCACTCCAGCCTGGGTGACAGAGCCAGACCCTATCCCTCCAAAATTAATTAAAATTATATAAAATTGCCGGGCGCGGTGGCTCAAGCCTGTAATCCCAGCACTTTGGGAGGCCGAGGCGGGTGGATCACGAGGTCAAGAGATCGAGACCATCCTAGGCCGGGCACGGTGGCTCAAGCCTGTAATCCCAGCACTTTGGGAGGCCGAGGCGGGTGGATCACGAGGTCAAGAGATCGAGACCATCCTGGTCAATATGGTGAAACCCCGTCTCTACTAAAAATACGAAAAATCAGCTGGGCATGGTGGCGCGTGCCTGTAATCCCAGCTACTCAGGAGGCTGAGGCAGGAGAATTGCCTGAACCCAGGAGGCGGAGGTTGCAGTGAGCCGAGATCGCGCCATTGCACTCCAGCCTGGGTAACGAGCGAAACTCCGTCTCAAAAAAAAAACAAAAACAAAAACAAAAAAAAACAAAACAAAAAGAGATCGAGACCATCCTGGTCAACATGGTGAAACCCCATCTCTACTAAAAATACAAAAAATTAGCTGGGCATGGCGGCGCGTGCCTGTAATCCCAGCTCCTCAGGAGGCTGAGGCAGGAGAATTGCCTGAACCCAGGAGGCGGAGGTTGCGGTGAGCCAAGATCGCGCCATTGCACTCCAGCCTGCGTAACAAGAGCGAAACTCCGTCTCAAAAAAAAAAAAAAAAAAAAAAAATTATATAAAATTAAGAAACTCACTTGCATTGTATTTTATTTTTAATGTTGATGTTAAGCAACCTCTTGGGGATTTGTTCACTATTGTGTGTTCTTTGCCCTTCCTCATCCTCACTTCCTGACTCACCTTACACACCTCCTCCTCCTCCAGGAAGCCCTGCCCTCCTGACCCATGACAAGCCAAGCCCTTCCTTTTGGCTTCCGAGACCTCTGCATACTCAGAATCCCAGCCCCGACCCCTCTGCCCGTGCCCTTCCTGTCACGGCCCTGACCATTTCTAGGCTGTCGCTCTCTGATGCCCTGTCTGTGAACTGGTGAGGTCAGGGCACGGAGATGTCTCAGCCCTTCCTGTCTCCAGCCCTGTCTAGCCCAGGGCCTGACCCCTCTGCCTGCCCTCTCCCAGCTCCCTATTCTGTCCCTGATCCCTCTGCCTGGGCCCCAGTCCCTCAGCCTGAGCCTCCCCATCCTGGCCCTGATCCCTCGCAGTGATGGATCTGTCTCCCAGTGGGCTGCTTTGATCATCACTGTGTTCTTGGCATCACTCAGCAGAGGGAGATGCTTGGGAAATAAATGAATGTGGAACCCAGCTAGGCGCGGTGGCTCACACCTGTAATCCCAGCACTCTGGGAGGCCAAAGTGGGCGGATCACTTGAGGCCAGGAATTCAAGACCGGCCTGGCTAACATGGCGAAATCCCGTCTCTATTAAAATTACAAAAATTAGCCAGGCGTGGTGCTGGGTGCCTGTAGTCCCAGCTACTTGGGAGGCTCAGGCAGGGGAATTGCTTGAACCTGGGAGGTGGAGGTTGCAGTGAGCCAGGATCGCATGACTGCACTCCAGCCTGGGCGACAGAGCGATACTCTCTCAAAAAGAAAAAGTAAATGAATGTGGAACTGAGTTTAGAAAGGAAGGATGCAAGAAGGGACAGGACCCCTCATACCTGGGGTGGCGGGGGCGGCTGGCCTCCGATGAAGTTGATTGATTGAACTTGCAGGTCGCCATCCACTTGCAGGTGGGTGACCATCTGTAGAGGGAGCCGGTGCCCGTACTCATAGAAGGGATTTCCATTTACCACCACCTGGAGGGCAGGGATGTACGTCAGGGGTCAGCACACAGGATCCTGGGAAGGTAGAAACAGGAAGCAGGGGCCGGGCCAGTGGCTCAGGCCCGTAACCCCAGCAGTGTGGGAGGCCCAGGTGGGCGGATCATTTGAGATCAGGAAATTGAGACCACACTAGCCAACATAGTGAAACCCTGTCTCTACTGAAAATACAAAAATTAGCGGGGCAGATGCCTGTAATCCCAGGCTGAGGCAGGGGAATCGCTTGAACCCAGGAGGTGATTGCCGTGAGCCGAGATTCCACCACTGCACTCCAGCCTGGCTGACAGTGCCTCAGGTGACAGTTTGCGACTCAGTCTCAAAACAAACAAACAACAACAAAACCAGGAAGCAGGGAACAGGGATCTTTTTCATTGGGAGTCGAAAGTCTTGGGGATGAGCTGGGAAAGCCTCAGCATTTGGAACCTTGGAGTCCACAGCTCAGAGGTCAAGCTAGGGTCAAAAGTCTGCTGAATGTCTGGTCGCAGTGGCTCATGCCTATAATCCCAGCACTTTGGGAGGCCCAGGTGAGCAGATCATTTGAGATCAGGCGTTCCAGACCAGCTTGAGCAACATAGCAAGATCCTGTCTTTACAAAAACACAAAAATTAGCCGGGCATGGTGGTGTGCACCTGGAGTCCCAGCTACTCGGGAGGCTTGACGTGAGAGGATCACGAGCCTGGGGAGGTTGAGGCTGCAGTGAGCTGTTTGCGTCACTGCACTCCAGCCTGGCAACAGAGTGAGATCCAGTCTCAAGAAAAAAAAAAGGACACGTTTTGCAAAAACACAAAATGTTAGGAGGAAATATACATGAAATGTATTTCCTGAGAACAAGATTCTCTGCAGTAGGGTAATGGGATTAAGGAAAAGAGCTAAAAGAGGATTTTTTTTTTTTTTTTTTTTTTTTTTTTGAGACGGAGTTTCGCTCTTGTTACCCGAGGCTGGAGTGCAATGGCGCGATCTCGGCTCACCGCAACCTCCGCCTCCTGGGTTCAGGCAATTCTCCTGCCTCAGCCTCCTGAGTAGCTGGAATTACAGGCACGCGCCACCATGCCCAGCTAATTTTTTTTTTGTACTTTTTAGTAGAGACGGGGTTTCACCATGTTGACCAGGATGGTCTCGATCTCTCAACCTCGTGATCCACCCGCCTCGGCCTCCCAAAGTGCTGGGATTACAGGCTTGAGCCACCGCGCCCGACCTAAAAGAGGATTTTTAAAAATAGGCAGGAAAGAATGAAAAGAAAAGAAAAAAGTTGACAAAAGTGGGGATAGGGAAAAGGAAAGAAGGGAGGGAGGCAGAGGGAAGGAAGAAGAGAGGAGGAGAGGGAAGGAGGGAAAGAAAGAGGAGAGAATGGAAAAAAAAAGGATGGAAGGGGCCGGGCACAGTGGCTCACACCCATGACCCCAGAACTTTTGGGAGGCTGAGGCGGACAGAGCACCTGAGGTCAGGAGATTGAGACCAGCCTGGGCAACATGGTGAAACCTCATCTCTACTAAAAATACAAAAATTAGCTGAGCATGGTGGCGGGCGCCTGTCATCCTGGCTACTCGGGAGGCTGAGACAGGAGAATCGCTTGAACCCAGGAGGCGGAGGTTGCGGTGAGCCGAGATCACACCACTGCACTCCAGCCTGGGTGACAACAGCAAAACTCTGTCTCAAAAAAAAGAAAAAGAGAGAAAAAAAAAGTAACTAAAGGAAGGAAGGAGAGAGGGGAGGAGGGAGGGAGAGAGGGGAGGAGGGAGGGAGAGAGGGGAGGAGGGAGGGAGAGAGGGGAGGAGGGAGGCAGAGAGGGGAGGAGGGAGGGAGAGAGGGAGGCAGAGAGGGGAGGAGGGAGGGAGCCGAGATGGCGCCATTGCACTCCAGCGCGGGAAACGAGAGGGAAAGCAGGCAGACCTTGTAGTGCTCGGCCAGGACCATGATGACCAGCTCGAAGGCGGCGCCCTTTTTGAAGGGCATGCTCCTCTTCTTCTCCTCGCTGCCCCACTTCCCGCCCTGCAGCGTGTTGAAAACCACCTTGTCCAAGCCATCAAACCTCGGGTTGAAGTGGAAAGCGATGTCTGAGCCTGGGTCCTGCCCCACCACGAAGTTCACAGAGAACCTGGCGGGACATGAAGGGCTGGTTCCCTTGGTGCCACCTCCCAGGGCCGGGGGGCCCTCCTCCAGGAAGCCCTCTCCCACCTGCCCTGGCCCAGGGCTCCCTGGCCCAGACTACAGCACCAGCTCTCGGGGACAACCCTGGCACTGTGGCCCACAGCGTGGAGGGGGCCCAAGTTCTGGGGGTGCAGATTCCTACTACCACACCTTCACTCACAGCCTCTCCTTTTTTTTTTTTTTTGAGATGGAGTCTGTGCTGTGGCCCAGGCTGGAGTACAGTGGTGCAATCTCAGCTCACTGCAACCTCCACCTCCCAGATTCTAATGATTCTCCTGCCTCAGCTTCCTGAGTAGCTGAGGTTACAGGCACGTACCATCACATCCAGCGAATTATTGGATTTTTAGTAGAGACAGGTTTTGCCATGCTGGCCAGGCTGGCCTCAAACTGCTGACCTCACGTGATCCACCTGCCTTGGCCTCCCAAAGTGCCGGGGTTACAGGCGAGAGCCACCGCGCCCGGCCCGGACTTATTTTTTATCTGTTTCCCCTACTAGGACGTCAGCTCCATGAGGGCAGGGATCTCTGTCCTGTTCACTCCTCCATCCCTAGCGCCAGGACACAAAGTGGGCACTCAGTGAAGAAGTAAATGGTACATAAATAACAGGCGGGGCAGAGTGGCTCACACCAGTGCCTGATCCTCCCAGCACTTTAGGAGGCCGAGGCTAGAGGATCGCTTGAGCCCGGGAGTTCAAGACCAGCTTGGGCAACATAACAAGACTTTGTCTCTACAAAACAAATAATAATAACAATAATTTAAAAATAAATTAGCTGGGCATGGTGGAGCATGCCTGTAGTCCCATCTGCTTGGGAAGATGAGGGGAGAGGATCACTTGAGCCCAGGAGTCGAAGGCTGAAGTGAGCTATGATACTGTGCCATTGCTTTCCAGCCTGGGCAATGGAGCAAGATTTTTTTTTTCTCTAAGGAAAAAGATATCCTATGAGGCCAATTATTATTGCCCTGTTAAGGTCTTTTAAAAAAGCTAAGACTCCGGCTGGGCGAGGTGGCTCAAACCTGTAATCCCAGCACTTTGGGAGGCCGAGGTGGGCAGATCACCTGAGATCGGGAGTTTGAGACCAGCCTGACCAACATGGAGAAAACCTATCTCTAATAAAAATACAAAATTAGCTGAGCATGGTGGTGCACCCCTGTAATCCCAGCTACTTGGAATGCTGACGCAGAAGAATCGCTTGAACCCTGGAGGTGGAGGTTGTGGCGAGCCGAGGTCGCGCCATTGCACTCCATCCTGGGCAACAAGAGCAAAACTCTGTCTCAAAAAGAAAAAAAGCTGCGACTGGGTCAGACGTCACGCCTGTAATCCCAGCACTTTGAGAGACTGAGATGGGCAGATCACTTGGGGTCAGGAGTTGGAGACCAGCCTGGCCAACACGGTGAAACTCCGTCTCTATTAAAAATACAAAAATTAGCCGGGTATGGTGGCTTGTGCCTGTAATCCCAGCTCGGGAGGCTGAGGCAGGAGAATCGCTTGAACCCAGGAGGTGGAGGTTGCAGTGAGCCAAGATTGCACCATTGCACTCCAGCCTGGGCCACAGGGGTGAAACTCTACCTCAAAAAAAAAAAAGAAAAAGAAAGAAAGAAAATGAAGCACAGAGAGGTATGGTCACTTTCACCAACACAGACCTGGGGAGTGGCAGAGCTGGGATTTGAACTCGGGGACCTGGCTCTGAGCCTGTGATTAGAATTCCTGCCACCACACCCATCAGTTTCAGTCCAACGTCCAACTCAGGGGCTGCCTCTCACGGTGAGCCCTCCCTGACCCTTCTGGCCCCCACGTCCTCACTCTTGATCTGTCCCAGGCTGGTGTCTGGCTATTGGGTGGGGCAGCAAAGAGTCTCCTCCCCACCAGGGTGGGGTAAGGGCAGAAGGCCCTCAACAGCCAGGCCCAGAGCACCCTGTTGGAAGTCCCCTGCCAGCCGGGCCTGGCTCAGGGAGGGTCTTACCGCTTCATGTGGTCGCTGGCCACTCCTTGGATGTAAACAGACATTCCCACGCTGAGTCCGCCCGGGATGGGCTTGCAGTAGGGCAGCGTCTAGAGAAGAGGCCTGGTGAGGGGACTCACAAGCCATCTCCCTGTTGCAGCCTTTACCCCTCCCGGAAAAGCCCCCAGTCCCTTGAGCAGGGGAGAGGAAACCACAGGGGAGGGCCAGGCTGGAGATGATGAGAGCCAACGGTTAGACCTGGACACAGACAGCCTGAGGTCCGGGTGGGAGTAAATGAAGGGTCAGGGTCAGCTTTGGGTAAATCTGACCCCGGGGTCAGATGGGGCCCCCCAGGAGCAGGGTGGGGAAAATCGGCGTGGTGGGGTATGGATGGAGCTGCGGGTGGGGCAGGGGCCTGAGCCAGCGTCTCACCGGGTTGTAGGTGGGCTGGTAGCCCGGTGCAGGGACAAAGTTCATCGCTCTCTGCTGGGCTGGTGGCTCGTCCTGTGAGAAGAGCTGCAGGAGTGGGAGATGGTGGCAGATGGCAGGTGGTGGGTGGCTCTTATACCCAGGGAAAGGGTGTGGCTGGTGGGGGAGGATCCACAGGGCCCCTCTTCTGGGACTCTCAGGCCCTTGGCTTCTCCTAGAGCGCACCCTAGTCTCTCTTCCCTCGCCGGCTTCCCTGGTGACCAGCCAGGACCCAAATCACCTGGGTCCCTCCCCTAGGCCCCCCTGCAAAGAGGAAGTGCTGATGAACTTCACCCCATCAGAGCCTTATCAGAGCCCATAAAGCCCTGCCCAGACTTTTGTTGGCAGAGGGAGGGTGAGACCAGGCAGGGCAGGGCAGGGCTGCAGGAGTGACCCAGGACAGCTGGGCAGCGGAAGAGGCAGATGCAGGGAGGAACCTCAAGTATCCGCCTCTCCCAGCAACTGTGAAGGGACTTACATTGACTGCATGCCCACCGCACGTCTTTACCGTGTATGTTGTATTGTAGGAAGAGTGGTTTAGATTACTAATGTCTGGAGCCAGAGGTTCTGGGTTCAAATCCTGCCTCTGCCACTTCTCAGCTGTCTGATAGTGGGTCAGTGCCTTACCCTCAATTTTCCCATGTGCTCATCTGTAAAATAGGGATAGTAGTAGTATCGGCTGGGTGCAGTGGCTCATGCCTGTGATCCCAGCCCTTTGGGAGGCCGAGGCGGGTCAATCACCTGAGGTCAGGAGTTCGAGACCAGCCTGGCCAACATGGCAAAACCACCATCTCTACTAAAAATACAAAAATTAACCAGGCATGGTGGTGGGTGCCTTTAATCCCAGCTTCTTGGAGGCTGAGACAGGAGAATCACTTGAACCTGAGTGGTGGAGGTTGCAGTGAACTGAGATCATGCCACTGCACTCCAGCCTGGGTGACAGAGGGAGACTCTGTCTCAAAAAATAATGATAATAATAATAACATAGAAAACAAGTATTGACTAGCTATCAAAATATTTGAAATATTTTTAAGCCGGGCGCGGTGGCTCAAGCCTGTAATCCCAGCACTTTGGGAGGCCGAGGCGGGTGGATCACGAGGTCGAGAGTCCGAGACCATCCTGGTCGACATGGTGAAACCCCGTCTCTACTAAAAATACAAAAAATTAGCTGGGCATGGTGGCGCGTGCCTGTAATCCCAGCTACTCAGGAGGCTGAGGCAGGAGAATTGCCTGAACTCAGGAGGCAGGAAGTTGCGGTGAGCCGAGATCGCGCCACTGCGCTCCAGCCTGGGTAACGAGCAAAACTCCGTCTCAAAAAAAAAAAAAAAAAAAAAGAAATATTTTTTAAATGAATTTGTGATCCAGTCTGTATGTTAATTATGCACCAAATAAGAAGATCTAGCAGTGAGTCCAATGTTCCACAGCTACTCAAAAAAAAAAAAAAAAAAAGTAGTCTCAACCTTGGGCTGGATATAGTGCTCATGCCTGTAATCCCAGCACTTTGGGAAGCTGAATTAGGAGGACTGCTTGAGCCCAGGAGCTTGAGATCAGCCTGGGCAACATATCAAGACCTCATCTTTACGAAAAATTTTAAAAATTAGTGGGGCGTGGCAGCACACATTTGTATTCCTAACTACTCAGGAGGCTGAGGCAGGAAGATCACTTGAACTCAGGCATTCAAGGTTCCAGTGAGCTATGATCATGCCATTGCACTCCAGCCTGGGTGACAGATGATGACCCTGTCTTTAAAAAATAACAATAACAATCATAATAATAATCATAATAGTATCAACCTCATAGTCTTTGATCATTAAGGTAATAAATGCTCAGAATAAGACTTGGCATATAGAGGTCATTAAATTAATGCTTGGTCTCTTGCAGTCATTCCAAATGTAAATCCAGAAGATTGGGATGATATATGGATAAAAAACCTGAAGTGTTTTTTTGTTTGTTTTTGAGACAGAGTCTTGCTCTGTCACCGAGGCTGTAGGGTAGTAGTGCCGTCTCGGCTCACTGCAACCTCCATTCTCCCGCCTCAGCCTCCTGAATAGCTAGGATTACAAGCAAGCGCCACCACGCCTGGCTAATTTTTGTATTTTTAGTAGAGACCGGGTTTTGTCATGTTGGCCAGGCTGGTCTCAAACTCCTGACATCAAGTGATCTGCCTGCCTTGGCCTCCCAAAGTGCTGGAATTACAGGCATGAGCCCCTGCACCTGGCCAGAAACCACTACGTTTTTTGTTTGTTGGTTTGTTTTGAGACAAAGTCTTGCTCTGTGGCCCAGGCTGGAGTGCAGTGGCAAGATCTTCGCTCACTGCAACCTCCACTTCCCAGGTCAAGTGATTCTCCTGCCTCAGCCTCCTGAGTAGCTGAGATTACAGGCGCCCACCATCACACCAGACTAATTGTTTGTATTTTTATTAGAGACAGTGCTTCACTCTGTTTCCCAGGCTGCTTGTGAACTCCTGAGCTCAGACATCCACCCACCTCGCCCTCCCAAAGTGTTAGGATTACAGGTGCTAGCCATGCACCCAGCACCCCAAAGTTTTAAAGAAATGAGGTGGCTGGCCGTGGTGGCTCATGCCTATAATCCCAGCACTTTGGGAGGCCGAGACAAGAGGATCACAAGGTCAGGAGAGTAATACCAGCCTGGCCAACATGGTGAAAACCCATTTCTACTAAAAGTACAAAAATTAGCTGGGTGTGGTCATGCACGCCTGTACTCCCAGCTACTTGGGAGGCTAAGGCAGGAGAATCGCTTGAACCCAGGAGGCAGAGGTTGCAGTGAGCTGAGATCACGCCATTGCACTCCAGCCTGGACGACAGAGCAAGACTCTGTCTTAAAAAAAAAAAAAAAAAAAAAAAAAAAGGCTCACACCTACAATCCCAGCACTTTGGGAGGCCGAGGTGGGTGGATCACAAGGTTAAGAGATCGAGGCCATCCTGGTCAACATGGCGAAACCCCGTCTCTACTAAAAATACAAAAAATTAGCTGGGCATGGTGGCGCATGCCTGTAATCCCAGCTACTTGGGAGGCTGAGGCAGGAGAATTGCCTGAACCCAGGAGGCAGAGGTTGCGGTGACCTGAGATCGCGCCATTGCACTCCAGCCTGGGTAACAAGAGTGAAACTCTGTCTCAAAAAAAAAGAAAAAGAAAAAAGAAAAGAAAGAAAGGAGGCTCAAGATTTGGTAACAAGGGAATCCCAGCCAGGCGCCAGCACTGGATGCCATGTGCTGTGGAGTGAGAGATGCCAGGCAGGGCGCAAACACCGCCCTCAACCCCAGGGCAGGCAGGGAGACCTGGTAGCCTTGCAACCCAGAGGTAGCTCAGTGACTTTTGCTCACTCTCTCCTTCCCCGGCTTCCTTGTGGCCCTTGCCTGACTGCTGCCAGTCTGAATGGCCATCTCCTCCAACCCACCCATTCCCATGTGTACAATCTCTAGCCCCAACCCTCAGGGCTGCAGTTTCTGGAGCCCCCAGATACATCTGAGCCCTTCCCACATCTCCTCTTTCCAAGCAGGGCACCAGGTTCTTTACTTTGCTTTATTGTCTGTGGGGTGAAGCTAAGACCTTGGGCTTGAGGAAGTCAGTGTTATAAAGTTATAAACTGGGAGATGGGGTAAGAAGGCACAGAGGACAGTCACCGCCCATCTTCCCTTTCTGCGGATGAGGTGGGTCAAGGTCAGCCCCCTGGCTGGGGCCTAAGACACAAGGGCTTCAGAGCTTGGAGAAGGTGACGCTTTTCAGCTCCTTCTTCTCGATTGCGGCCTGGACCGACTTGATGAGGTCCTGGGTCTGCAGCATGCTCATGTTCCAGGACGCCTGGTGCCGAGGGCGTGGGAAAGAACCGGCGAAAGGTTAGCAGGGGCCAATCAGGATAAGGCATCCGATCACCCTGTGCCTTGATTGGTCGCCGGAGGTATGAGGAGGGCTGTGATTGGTCGGAGCGTGCGCCTTACCATGTAGTTGAGGCCCTCAGCCACCGAATGGTCGCGAGAATAGAGCAGGTTGACCTTGGTGCCCTGCACCGCCACAGGGCTCTTGCTGGAAATCTCGGCTGCCAGCGCTAAGGCTGCATCGAGCATGACTTCCTTGTCTGGGAACACCCGGCTGCAGCGAAAGAGATTGGGGCCCGGGCAGGCTAGGAAGGGCTCTCTCCCAACTCTCCAAGAAAGAATGCCACTGGGAACTCTGGAGCAAGGAAACAAGGGGACCCAGAGAAGCCTCCACCCCTTCAGGCCTGGCTGCCCCCAGCACTGAGCTCCCAGGGCCTAACGCCTACCTGACCAGCCCGCTGCCTAGCGCCTCGTCAGCCATCATCTTGCGGGCGGTGAAGGCCAGCTCGTTGACAAGGCTGCAAGGGGGGAGCGTGCATCAGGAGGTGGCTGCCACCCCAGGGCTGGGAGACGCTCTGGCGTCCCCCGCACATGCCCCCACCCCCTCCGCACCCACCTCTGGTTCCCGATGACCCTGGGCAGGCGCTGCAGTGTTCCTACATCGGCAGCCAAACCTATGTCCGCCTCCTGGAGGAGGAATCCGGTCAGTGTTTGGTTTCTGCCCAATGCTGTGCCCCATGCAACCCCATGTCCATGAAACTTCATGTTTACTGCAGCGTTTCCCCGCACCACCTCCGCCCCACTGACTCCCTCCAAAGCCCTGTTCTACTGCCCAGGCAGCTTCTTGACCCGGACAGGTTCCTTCAACCTAACCCACTCACCCGCCTCGCACTTCTTCAGAGCGGCTCTATCACCAGAGAGGCACTGTTCTCACCCTACCCGAGACCCCTTTACTCTGCCCCCCTGGATCCATCCTGCCTCCCACCCTCACCAGTATGGCCCCAGGGGCAACCCCTGCCCCTGGCACCTGCCAGCCTTAACTCTACCCCACACCTTACCCACTCACAACTTCATGTCTTGACTTCCTCTATGGCCAAGTCTTTTTTTTTTTTTTTTTTTTTTTGAGACGGAGTTTCGCTCTTGTTACCCAGGCTGGAGTGCAATGGCGCGATCTCGGCTCACCGCAACCTCCGCCTCCTGGGTTCAGGCAATTCTCCTGCCTCAGCCTCCGGAGTAGCTGGGATTACAGGCACGCGCCACCATGCCCAGCTAATTTTTTGCACCTTTAGTAGAGACGGGGTTTCACCAGGTTGACCAGGATGGTCTCGATCTCTTGACCTCGTGATCCACCCGCCTCGGCCTCCCAAAGTGCTGGGATTACAGGCTTGAGCCACCGCGCCCGGCGCTATGGCCAAGTCTTACTTTGTCAGGTTCAACTCCGACTCTTCCATGAAGCCCTTGGGGCTCACCCCAGCCTCCCAACCCCACCCCACTGCCCAGCTCTAAGCAGGAACTCAGGAGATGACTCACCTTCACCTGGAAGAAAGCGTCCTGGGCACAGTACCGGATGTCACAGGCGGTGACAAGGTCCACACCTAGAAGGTAGAGGCCAAGGACGCTGAATGACCACCAGAACCACCCCCGCCTCCCGAGACATGGAGCTGCTGCCTCTTGGGACACAGTCTGAGCCTCTGACAGAGCGGAGGCTGGATGCCAGTGGCCGCGGTGGCATCAGGGCAGCAGCCGGACACAGGGAGCACCCGAGCAGGACAGTCGCAGACTCACCTCCGCCAATGCAGCCCCCGTGGACAGCAGCAATCACAGGCTTGGGGCACTGAGACGGAACAGGAAGAGTGGTGTCAAGGCTGGCACAGGGGAGGCGAGCATGGAGAGGGATGCCCTCCAGCCCCCTAGAATCACCTTCTCGATGACGGTGAAGGTCTCCTGGTATCGAGTGATGAGGTCACGGAGGTTCCAGCTGATCCGGGCCACATCATCTCCTTTAGGCTGCATGATATCGGAAGCCATGTCCATCAGGTCAATACCTGGTGAGAAGGTATGAGGGAGCTCACCTAGGCTCCCCGCCCCCACCCACTGCCCCAACCACGGGTCAGAACCCAGGCAAAGTGGGTTCGAACACCAAGGCGGAAAAAGCCACTCACACAGGACTTGATGAGGGACTGCATGTGGCCTGAGAAGGAAAGAAAAGCTACTATTTGTTACGCCATTACTCACTGGATCCTCACAACAGTCCTACCAGCCAGGGCCTATTACTATTTGTGTTACCAACAGGTAAACTGAGGCACAGAGAGGTTAAGCCCTTGCCTAAGGGGTCACACTGGCTGATGAGTAGTAAATTATTTTAATTAACTCATTAATGTAAATAGGGTCTCACTGCTACACCAGCTAGAGTGCAGTGGCACGATCATGGCTCACTGCAGCCTCCAACTCCCAGGCTCAAGCAATCCTCCCGCCTCAGCCTCCTGAGTGGCTGGGACTGTGCCAAGGCTGGTCTTGAACTCCTGGGTTCAAGCAATCTTCCCATTTCGGCCTCTCAAAGCACTAGGAATTCAGGTGTGAGCTCCCATTCCCTGCCAGAAGTGGGATTTTTAAACCTGGAACCATACAGCTGGCTCCAGAGGCCATGCTCTCCCCTCAATATGCCAGACAGCCCGGAACCTAAGGTCTGTGGCGTGAGCAATGGAGTCAATGGTGGCGATGTTTCCTGAGATGAGAAACATGTCAAGATGCAGCAATTTCTGTAGCTCCAACTTCAAGATGATCCCGAATCTGACTTTCCTCCACCAGCTGTTCTCCATGAGCCCACCCTGCTCTCCCTGTTCCCCCCTGTGTCCCCAGTCTGTGTCACACAGCCAGAAGGAGCCAGTGGACACCTTCTTGGGTCAGACAGACCCACTTCTTCCCTCCTGTCGCTCTTAGAACAAAATGCAAAGTCCCTGTCATGACTTTACCTTGCATGAACACCGTTCCCAACCTATTAGGTTGGGCACACTGGCCCCCAACAGTGTGTGTGTGGGCACGCATGTGCAAATCTCAGCACTTTGGGAGGTGGATCAAGAGGTCAGGAGATGGAGACCATCCTGGCTAACATGGTGAAACCCTATCTCTACTAAAAATACTAAAATTGGCTGGGTGCAGTGGCTCATACCTGTAATCCCAGTACTTTGGGAGTCCAAAGCAGGTGGACCACCTGAGGTCAGGAGTTAAAAAGACCATGCAGCCTGATCAACATGGTGAAACCTCGTCTCTCCTGAAAATACAAAAATTAGCCAGGCATGGTGGCGCGTGCCTGTAATCCCAGCTACTTGGGAGGCTGAGGCAGGAGAATCGCTTGAACCTGGGAGGTGAGGTTGCAGTGAGCTGAGATCATGCCATTGCACGCCAGCCTGGGCAACAAGAGCGAAACTCCATAAAAAAAAAAAAAAAAAAAAAAAAAATTTGCCTGGTGTGATGGCATGGCCTATAGTCCCAGCTACTCAGGAGGCTAATGCAGGAGACTCTCTTGAACTTGGGAGGCAGAGGCTGCAGTGAGCTGACATAGTGCCGCTGCACTCCAGCCTGGGCAATAGAGTGGGACTCTGTCTCAAGAAAGAAAGAAAAAAAAAGACCCTGACGATAGGGAGGGAGCCAAGGATCTTTGGGCTGACAACCATCCTTCCATCTTCAACAGCCTCAGTCTGACTCCATCACTTCCTTCAGCTCAAAGGTCACCTCCTTAGAAAGGCCCCCCCAAACCTGGCTAAACAGCAGCCCCATGCTCCGCGTCCTGACTCTGCCTTATCTCCAGGCTGCATAGCTTACCATCCTGTAATTATGCCCTCATCTATTAAGGCCTTGACTCCCTTTCTAGAACGGGAGCTCTGAGAATGCAGTTTTTGTCTTTCTGTCCACTGCTGTATCCCCTGTACCTAGAACAGGGCCTGGTATACATGAGCTGCTCAATAAGTGACCAATACACACAACAGTCCCCGTCCTCATGGGAAGGCAAACGAATTAAAAAAAAAAATACACTTGGCTGGGCGTGGTGGCTCACGCCTGTAATCCTAGCACTTTGGGAGGCCAAGGTGGGTAGATCACCTGAGGTCAGGAGTTCAGGACCAGCCTGGCCATCATGGTGAAACCCCATCTTAAAAAACAAAACAGCCGGGCGCGGTGGCTCAAGCCTGTAATGCCTGGGGGACAGAGCGAGACTCCACCTCCAAAAAAAAAAAAAAAAAAAAAGACAAGCACTTTGGGAGGCCGAGGCGGGTGGATCACAAGGTCAGGAGATTGAGACCATCCTGGTCAACACGGTGAAACCCCATCTCTACTAAAAATACAAAAAATTAGCTGGGCATGGTGGCGCGTGCCTGTAATCCCAGCTACTCAGGAGGCTGAGGCAGGAGAACTGCCTGAACCCAGGAGGCGGAGGTTGCGGTGAGCCGAGATCGCGCCATTGCACTCCAGCCTGGGTAACAAGAGCGACACTCTGTCTCAAAAAAAAAATAAATAAATAAATAAAAATAAAATAAAATAAAATTAAAATTAAAAAAAAAAAAAAAAAGAAAAGAAAAAAAAGAAACAAAACAAAACAAAAAAACACTTTGGGGCTGGGAGCAGTGACTACTGCCCGTAATCCCAGCACTTTGGAAGTCTGAGGCAGGAGGATCGCTTGAAGCTAGGATTTCGAGAATAGCCTGGGCAACATAGCAAGACCTCCTCTCTATAAAAAGGAAAAAATTAGCTGCACATGAGGCTGGGTGTGGTCACCTGTAATCCCAGCACTTTCAGAAGCTGAGGCGGATCACTTGAGGTCAGGAGTTTGAGACCAGCCAGGACAACATGGTGAAACCCGTCTCTACTAAAAATACAAAAATTAGCTGGGTGTGGTAGTGCACACCTGTGGTCCCAGCTACTCGGGAGGCTGAGGCAGGGGAATCACTTGAACCTGGGAGGCGGAGGTTGCAGTGCCGAGACTGCACCACTGCACTCCAGCCTGGCGACAGAGCGGGACTCTGTCTCAACAGCAACAAAAAAGCAAGCACTGTATTGCCAGGCAGCCCGAGTTCCAAAATCCCAGCTCGGCCACTTACAAGCTGTGAGAATTGGGTAAGTTTTGCTCCCCCTGGATCTGTTCATCTTTAAATGGGGCTTAGAGCAGAACCTGTCTTGTGGGCTGTGATGAGAATTAATTAACATGTTTAAAGTGCTTAGAAAGGGCCCTGACACACCATGAGTGCTACATAATTGTGGCCGACTTTTTCTTTCTCTAATTAGTAGTTCTACTCTATCACTGGGTCATGGCCCGACCCAGAGTTTCTTCCTTCTAGCCTTCAGGGTCTTGCGCTGAAAATAAGATGAGACGGCTGCATTCAGCTGGGAGCTGAAAGATGAATGGCACAGCCACAAAGGAGCCCCACCTTTCTGTTCTCAGACATGGGCTCTATGAGAGCAAGGGGTCAGGAACGGGGGCTGCCTGCCATTTCCACATCTCCGGCACCCAGGAGGGGGCTCTGACTCTGGACTGTGTCACTGAATGTTTGTCAAATGAACCAGTGAACAAAAGGAGCAACAGACAGAGATGCAGAAAGAAAGCAGGAGGCCAGGCGCGGTGGCTCATGCCTGTGATCCCAGCACTTTGGGAGGCCAAGGCGGGAGGATCCATTGAGGTCAGGAGTTCAAAACCAGCCTGGGCAACATAGCAAGACCCCACTTCTACAAAAAATGAGAAAACTAGCTGTGCATGGTGGTCCACACCTGTGGTCCCAGCTAGTTGAAGGGCTGAAGTGGGAGCACGGCTTGAGCCCAGGGGGTCAAGGCTGCAGCGAGCCAAGATTGTGCCACTGCACTTGAGCCTGGGTGACAGAGGGAGACCCCATCTCAAAAAAGAAAGGGCCAGGCATGGTGGCTGATGCCTGTAATCCCAGCACTTTGGGAGGCCAAGGTGGTGGATCACGAGGTCAGGAGTTTGAGACCAGCCTGAACAACATGGTGAAATCCCATCTCTACTAAAAATACAAAAATTAGCCAGGCGCAGTAGCATGCGCCTGTAATCCCAGCTACTCAGGAGGCTGAGGCAGGAGAATTGCTTGAACCTGGGAGGCAGAGGTTGCAGTGAGCCTCACTGCAGTCTAGCCTGGGGGACAGAGCGAGACTCCACCTCCAAAAAAAAAAAAAAAAAAAAGACAAGCACTTTGGAGGTCAAGGCAGGCGGATCACCTGAGGTTGGAAGTTCAAAACCAGCCTGACTAACATGGTGAAACCCCAACCTTTTCTTTTTTTTTTTTGAGTCGGAGTTTCGCTCTTGTGACCCAGGCTGGAGTGCAATGGCGCGATCTCGGCTCACCGCAACCTCCGCCTCCTGGGTTCAGGCAATTCTCCTGCCTCAGCCTCCTGAATAGCTGGGATTACAGGCACGAGCCACCATGCCCGGCTAATTTTTTGTATTTTTAGTAGAGACGGGGTTTCACCATGTTGACCAGGATGGTCTCGATCTCTTGACCTCGTGATCCACCCGCCTCGGCCTCCCAAAGTGCTGGGATTACAGGCTTGAACCACCGTGCCCCGCGAAACCCCATCTTTAAAAAAGAAAGGGAGGGAGGGAGGGAAGAAAGGGAAGGAGAGGGGAGGAAATGAGGGGAGGGAGGGAGAAAAGGGAGGGAAAGAAAAAAAACGGGACCTTTGAAGATGTTAATGGACAAAGCAGAAAGAAAGAGTGTACGGTCTGTCTCCCCCACTGAGTTGGGAAGACCAGGACAGCAGGGCCTGGGACCAGGGTCCCAGCACTGGACTGAGCACTGTGTAGAAATCAGCGTATGAACTATTTTGCTTCTGGTTTAGTCCTCAAGGGCCAACCCTTCCACAGACAACTGCATACTCTGGCTGGACAAGAAACAAACAACTGGGTCAGGCATGATGGTTCACGCCTGTAATCTCAGCATTTAGCACTTAGCACTTTCGGAGGCCAAGGCGGGCAGATCACCTGAGATTGGGAGTTTTCGACCAGCCTGACCAACATCGAGAAACCCCGTCTCTACTAAAATTACAAAAATTAGCCGGGTGTGGTGGCACGTGCCTGTCATCCCAGCTACTTGGGAGGCTGAGGCAGGAGAATCGCTTGAACCCAGGAGGTGGAGGTTGTGGTGACCTTAGATGGTGCCATTGCACTCCTGCCTGGGCAACAAGAGCAAGACTCCATCTCAAAAAAAAAAGAAAAAGAAAAAAAAAGAAAAGAAACAATTATCTGAAGGCACTGTGCAGATTCTGGAGGGAGTTTCCACTTAGAAGGAAGAGAGTGGAGAGCGGCATACCACTCTCAGCGTTTTTGAAAGCTTTTAGCTTGAGGGCAGACTGAAGTTGTGCTTGGAGAGCCCCAGTGAGGAGTCCTGAATTCTGTGTATCGACTCTGCCCACTTCTCTTGCCGGGAGATTTATGTTTCTGCTTTTGTTGTTGTTGTCTTGAGATGGGCTCTTGCTCTGTCACCCAGGCTGGAGTGCAGTGGCACAATGACATCTCACTGCGGTCTTGACCTCCCTGGCTCACACCATCCTCCCACCTCAGCCTCCAGAGTAGCAGAGAGTGTGGTCGTACACTGCACCCAGCTAATTTTTCAGTTTGTTGCCCAGGCTGAAGAGTTAGTTTTTAAATCTTTTGCTGGGAGTACATGCATGGTTCGTAAGTCAGCATGAGGCCAGGCACAGTGGCTCACGCTTGTAGTCCCAGCATGTGGGGAGGCCAAGGCAGGACGATTGCTTGAGTTCAAGAGTTCAAGACAACCCTGGCCAACATAGCAAGACCTCATCTCTACAAAAAATAAAATAAAATACAAAAACAGAAAAACCAAAAATACTAACTCCCATGAAGCTACCAAAACAGGAAACTCAACACTCTGGAATTACATAATGGAATCCAGAGTATCCACATCTTATTCCTATATCTCAGTATCCAGGAAACAATCCAAACTAACTCAAAATACAAAGAAACAGGAAGTGAGAGCCATTTTTAAGAGAAAAGATAATAAGGATATTGACCCCAAGATGACCCAGATGTTGAGATTAGAAGACAAAGATTTAAAATCAGTCATTATGCTCAATGGCAGAAAGAAAAATATGCATGACAAATAAAAAAATATGTAACTGACCAGGCACACTGGATCATGCCCATAATCCCAGCACTTTGGGAGGTCAAAGTGGGCAGATCACTTGAGGCCAGGAGTTCAAGACCAGCCTGGCCAACATGGTGAGACTCTGTCTCTACTAAAAATATAAAATTTAGTGGGGCATGGTGCCAGGCGCCTGTAAATCCCAGCTACTCAGGTGGCCGAGGCCGGACAATCACTTGAACCCAGGAGGCAGAGGTTGCAGTGAGCTGAGATCGCTGTTTAAGGTCTTTTAGGCTGACTGGCTGCATCACGGACTATGCCATGGTAACCTCTTTAACCTGCACGTACACTCCAGATGAGTTCCTGGAACTAGAAAGTCTGAAGTAACTGGAAAACCACAAAAAGGCGAAGAATGATCAATCCCTGCGGCGCCTAATTAACTTTGAGATATTCTATTATTTCTTATTTCCACCTCAACTGATACGGCAACTGGACTTTATGCCTGACCCTGGTCAACCTTGTGACTCCAGACCCTATGACCCCCTCCCAGCTTGCAAAAGCCACCCTGAACTGTAACTTCTGTAACTTTCCACTGCCCTACCCCAAACCTATAAAACCAACTCCTATCCCACTGCCCTGTGCTAACTCTCTTTTTGGACTAGCCCACCTGCACCCGGATGAATAAACAGCCATGTTGCTCACACAAAGCCTGTTTGTGGGGGCGGTCTCTTCATTCAGAGTGCATGTTTAACAATCGGGCCACTACCTGGGCAACAAGAGCGAAACTCCATCTTAAAAAAAAAAAAAGCCGGGCGCGGTGGCTCAAGCCTGTAATCCCAGCACTTTGGGAGGCCGAGGCGGGTGGATCACAAGGTCGAGAGATCGAGACCAACCTGGTCAACATGGTGAAACCCCGTCTCCACAAAAAATACAAAAAATTAGCTGGGCATGGCGGCTCGTGCCTGTAATCCCAGCTACTCAGGAGGCTGAGGCAGGAGAATTGCCTGAGCCCAGGAGGCGGAGGTTGTGGTGAGCCGAGATCGCGCCATTGCACTCCAGCCTGGGTAACAAGAGCGAAACTCCGTCTCAAAAAAAAAAAAAAAAAAAAAAGTGCTTCACAGGAGGATAGAGATGGTGAAAGAGTCTGCACCTGTGGTCAGTGGAAATTCTCCAATCTGAACAACAGACCAGTGGGTCAATCCAAAGATCTAACTGACATGTAACTGGAAATCAATTCATGAGTTGAATAGTTGCATGAAAGCAAGTTATTATATTATATAACATAGACTCTGAGAAGTTAAGCACCTTGTTCATGGCCACAGATTCAAGATGAAACCCAGACTTCAGAGCCTATGATCCCATCATGTTCTGTTGGACTAATTTTTATATTTGAATGTTTTAAATTAGGCCTTTAAAAAAAATGACAGGGCTGGCTGTGGTGGCACCTGCCTGTAATCCCAGCACTTTGGGAGGCTGAGGTAAGAGGACTGCTTGAGCCCAGGTATTTGAGTTTACAGTGATTTATGATTAGGCCACTGTACTCTAGTCTGGGTGAAGGGGCAAGATCCCATCTCAAAAAAAAAAAGAAAAAAAAAAAAAAAAGCCAGGCTTGGTGGCTCACGCCTGTAATCCTAGCACTTTGGGAGGCTGAGGCGGGTAGATCATGAAGTCAGATGGTGAAACCCCATCTCTACTAAAAATACAAAAATTAGCCAGGCACAGTGGCAGGCACCTGTAATCCCAGGTACTCGGGAGACTGAGGCAGAACTGCTTGAACTCAGGCCGCAGAGGTTGCAGTGAGCCAAGATCGTGCCACTGTACTCCAGCCTGAGCAATAGAGACTCCGTCTCAAAAAAAAACAAAAAAACAAAAAACCTGATAAGTTTAAGTTAGAAGCTGCTTAAAACCCTAATTAAGAAGCACTGACCTACTGTCTATTGCCAGGAGCTAGGAAGGCTGGTAGCGTGGGTCTGAAGTGTCCAGTACCTGCAGTGAACATTTTTCCTGCACCAGAGATCACCACCGCCCGACAGTCAGCGTCTCTTGAAATCTTGTTGAAGCACTCTACCATCTCTCTGTGAAGCAATGAGTAAGGGGCTACAGATGGAGTGGGAATACCCTGCCCTCATGTCCACCTCCCCCGCCCACGTTCCACTCTCGCCCAGTCCCACAGCCCCCGCCTCCCCGTGCAGGCAGGACTCCAGGATCTGCAGGTCGGACCTCCAGAAAACCCTGTTCATGGCATTCCTCTTGTCGGGCCGGTTGAGCTGGACGTGCAGAACATGTTTCTGTACAGACGTCACACGAAGGGACTCATAGCTGTGGTCTGGGGCTTCACCAGGGGCTACTCCAGAAGCCTCCTGTTTTGCAGAGGAGCCGGTGAGGCGAAGGCTAATACTGAGGCCCGGGTGGTTGGAGGCTGTCAGTCCTGGGGAGAAAGGGAGAGCTTTTGATGACCCCGGACTGCAAGACACAGGCCTATAGAATTAGGGAGCCCTGGCCAGGTGCGGTGGCCTGTAATCACACCTGTAATCCCAGCACTTTGGGAGGCTGAAGTGGGCGGATCGTGAGGTCAGGAGTTGGAGATCAGCCTGACCAACATGATGAAACCCCATCTCTACTCAAAATACAAAAAATTAGCTGGGCGTGGTGGTGCATGCCTGTAATCCCAGCTACCTGGGAGGCTGAGGCAGGAGAATCGCTTGAACCCGAAAGGCAGAGGTTGCAGTGAGCCCAGATTGCGCCTCTGCACTCCAGCCTGGGCAACAAGAGCAAAACTCAGTCTCAAAAAAAAAAAAAAAAAAAGAATTAGGGAGCCCTTCAGAAGGGAGCACAGGAACCCCTGCGTTTAGGGGGCTTGAGCCCTTCGTGATCCGGTATAGACCTCCCCGTCCTACAGCTGCTATGACAGCACGACAGCGCGATGGACCCCCACAAGTCAAAAGGTGACTCACGCCGGGTCAGCAGGTCACGGAGTCTGCGAGAAGCCACCATTCCTGCCGCCATCGCTCCCGCCATCATCTACTGCGTATTCTGACCCACAAACCCGCCAGTTAGCCGAGGGGGCGGGCACAAAGGGCCGCCATGTTGAGCGAGGGCGTCGATGCCACAGCACAAGCAATGACGCCGTTCGTTCCGCCATCTTTACTAAGGGCAGCCGATTTCCGGTTGCCTTGCATAGTTACAGGCAGACTCAGAAACGGACCCTTTGCCCCAGTGGGAATCTGGCCTAAGCAAATAGTTCCCGCTGAAGTTCGACACAGTGCTGTTTCATAATGATGGAATAACTCGTGACAGCTGAAAAGTTCAAGGACATAATGGCAGCAGCGCTTGTAATCATGCACGTATATAAGTAAACTAAAAAGAAAAAAAACTTTGCAGGACTGAGTTTACCCACGTAAAGGAATGAGTACAGATGGGCCAACATTAAGCGCTGACTGTATAATATGAACTCCCACGAGATTATAATATTTCCCACTGTATGCAGACGAAAGTGGCCCAGGCACCAGAAGGCACTAGGTTCAAGGTCGCTGGGCTTCAGGAGGGCTAAAGCAGGATTACCTGGCTCCAGAGTTCATATTCTTAGCCGGGAGGGGTGGCTCACACCTGTAGTCCCAGCACTTTGGGAGGCCGAGGCAGCAAATCACCTGAGGTCAGGAGTTCAAGACCAGTCTGGCCAACAGGGCGAAACCACATCTCTATTAAAAATACAAAAATTGGCCGGGCGCGGTGGCTCACGCCTGTAATCCCAGCACTTTGGAAGGCTGAGGCAGGTGGATCACGAGGTCAAGAGATCGAGACCATCCTGGTCAACATGGTGAAACCCCCATCTCTACTAAAAATACAAAAAATTAGCTGGGCATGGTGGCACATCATGCCTGTAATCCCAGCTACTCAGGAGGCTGAGGCAGAAGAATTGCTTGAACCCAGGAGGCGGAGGTTGCGGTGAGCCGAGATCGCGCCATTGCACTCCAGCCTGGGTCACAAGAGCGAAACTCCGTCTCAAAAAAAAAAAAAGTACATCTTCTTAACGCAAAATGCAATGGAACTCCCTTAGGAAAAGCCAGTAACCCAAGGGCATAAAAAGTACTGTAAAACCGCTTAAGTATGCTCATTAGGGAGACATTGAGCAAGGCGGTGAACACGTCTCTGGGCCAGTGGGACTGAAGGAATTATCTTTCCTTCTTAATGAACCTGTCTCCTGTCTGGTTTCACAGACTAGAGAAACAGGCGCTTTTGGAAGACAGAACCATTAACTACCCATCAACAGCAGACTGTTTATATCATGGAAAACTCTGAAATCTCTATGCAAAGATAAAAAAGTGTGAGAAAAAATGTGATGTAATAGAACATTTAATATGATCCTTTGCTCCTTTGGTGTTAAAAAAAAAGTATAGCTGGGCCGGGTGCAGTGGCTTACGTCTGTAATCCCAGCACTTTGGGAGGCTGAGGAAGGCAGATCACCCGAAGTGAGGAATTTGAGACCAGCCTGGCCAACATGGTAAAACCCCATCTCTACTAAAAATACAAAAATCAGCTGTGCATGGTGGCAGGTGCCTGTAATCCCAGCTGCTTGGGAGGCTGAGGAGGGAGAATGGCTTCAATCCAGGAGGCAGAGGTTGCAGCGAGCAGAGATCACGCCACTGCACACCAGAACTTCAGCCTGGGTGTGGTGACACAGTGAGACTCCATATCCAAAAAAAAAAAAAAAAAAAAAAAAAATAAATATATATATATATATATATATATGGCTTGACATACACAGAATATGGCATATGTATGTAATATCTCCGGAAGGAGACTCAAACTGCTAACAGAAAATGAAATTGGATGCTAGGAGACAAACTGGTAAAACTCATTTTTTATCTCCTTGACTGGCTTAAAAACACCCCAGTTAATTTTTTTTTTTTTTTTTTTTTGAGCCGGAGTTTTGCTCTTGTTACCCAGGCTGGAGTGCAATGGCGCGATCTCGGCTCTCCGCAACCTCCGCCTCCTGGGTTCAGGCAATTCTCCTGTCTCAGCCTCCTGAGTAGCTGGGATTACAGGCACGCACAACCATGCCCAGCTAATTTTTTTGTATTTTTAGTAGAGACGGGGTTTCACTATGTTGACCAGGATGGTCTCGATCTCTTGACCTTGTGATCCACCCACCTCGGCCTCCCAAAGTGCTGGGATTACAGGCTTGAGCCACCGCGCCCGGCCAATTTTTTTTTTTTTTTTTTTTTTTTTAGACGGAGTTTTGCTCTTGTTACCCAGGCTGGAGTGCAATGGTGCGATCTCAGCTCACCGCAACCTCCGTCTCCTAGGCTCAGGCAATTCTCCTGCCTCAGCCTCCTGAGTAGCTGGGATTACAGGCACGCGCCACCATGCCCAGCTAATTTTTTGTACTTTTAGTAGAGACGGGGGTTTCACCGTGTTGACCAGGATGGTCTCGATCTCTTGACCTCATGATCCACCCACCTCGGCCTCCCAGAGTGTTGGGATTACAGGCATGAGCCACCACGCCAGGCTCCCCCAGTTTATTTTTTTTATGGCTGCAACATGTAGTTTTCCCTTGTCTAGAGGTTGTTTGGAACTTTCCAAAGTGAAACAGAACTTGTTCATTTGCTAAATGATGCTTTTGTGACTTCGTCAAATGTTAACAATGCAAGGCCCAGCACAGTGGTTTACAACTGTAATCCTAGCTCTTTGGGAGGCCGAGGGGGGCAGATCACTTGAGGTCAGGAGTTCGAGACTATCCTGGCCAATAGGTGAAACCCCATCTTTACTAAAATTACAAAAATCAGCTGGGCATGATGGCATGCTCCTGTAATCCCAGCTACTCAGGAGGCTGAGGCAGAATTGCTTGAATCCCTCCCAGAGGTTGCAGTCAGGAGAGATCGCTCCACTGTACACCAGACTGGGCGACAGAGCAAGACTGAGTCTCAAAAGAGAATTCATTATTCACAGTAAATTCCCTAAGTGGGTTATTCTCAAGCACATATGCATAAACTCCCAAGGTTTGTGACCCGCTCCTTTGCAGGTGACCTCTTCCTTCCGATAGTACTCACAGTCCTTAAACCAGGATCCTTCTGGGTGATACCCACCCCCACCACAGCAAGGCATCTTCACAGATTCACACCTACAAGTGGGGAGTTATCTACCATATGTTGCAATTATGTTTTGAGATACGGTCTCAATGTGTCACCCAGGATGGGCTACAGTGGTGCCATCACGGCTCACGAGATCCTCCTGCCTCAGCCCCCAGGAGTAGCTGAAACTATAGGCACAGGGCCTGTCACCATGCCCTTATCACTTTTGTATTTTTTGTTGACAGGTTTTGCCATGTTGCCCAGGCTGGTCTCAAACTACTGGCCTTAAGTGATCTGACCACCTTGGCTTCCCGAAGTGCTGGGATTACAAGTATGGGCCACCACATCCAGCTATATATATCCTTTAACCCAGCAATTCCACTGGTAGGACCAGGTTGAATAAATCATGACACATCCACACAAATATACTGCAAGGGTAAAGACAAGTCACTCTGAAATGATACAGAACACAAAGGGTTTTGTTTTTGAGACAGGGTCTTACCCTGTTGCCCAGGCTGTAGTGCAGTGACCCAGTCACAGCTCACTGTGGCCTCACCCTCCCAGGCTGGGGTGATCCACCCCCGCCTGCTGGGTAGTTGGGATTACACGCACGTGCCACCATGACCGGACTAATGTTATTTTTAGTAGAGATGGGTTTTACCATGACCAGGCTGGAAACCCACTTTTCTTGTGACAAGGTCTCTCTTGTCACCCAGGTTGGAGTGCAGTGTGTTATCACTGCCGTATTAATCTCCTAGGCTCAAGTGACCCACGTGCCTCAGCCTGAGTAGCTTGGACTACAGCTGCATGTCACCCAACACATCTCAACATTTTGTAGTGGTAAGGTTTCACCATGCTGCCGAGGCTGCTCTTAACTCCTAAGCTCAAGGTTATCTGGCCCGCCTCGGCCTCTGCAAAGTGCTGGGAGCATAGGCTCATGACCCACCACATCCGACAGAACTTGCTTGGGCAGGGCCCAGGAAGAACGCCACCAGGCCTGCTGGATTTTCCTCAAAGTCAGCTGCTAGTACCATTCCCAGTCTGTAGCCCAACCTGCTCCTCTCAGGGTTCTGTATGTTTCCAGAGGGCCTGTGACTATTCAGGACATAGTGAGAGGGAGGAGGGCAGATCCATCCTAGAATCCCAGCAAGTGCTGTGTTTATTTTCCAAACAATTTTATTGAAATGTGCCAAGAGTACATGAGCAGCACAAATGTATGAACAGGAAAAAAAAAAAATCACATGGACAATAATTTTTAAAAGTGAAGGTTAATCTTGGGAGATATCAGTTCCCCTCTCCCTCCCCCTGCAGATTTCCAGCGTTTCCATTAAGGTTAAGCCTCTATGAATCTAGCATTAAAAAATAAAAGAAAGAAAGAAAGAAAAAAAGAATACAAGATCTTCTGCAAAGAACAGAAACAAAAAACAAATAATGGCGTAAAGGAAAGAGAAATGTCTTCCTGCTCAGATAGGACTCTTCCTAGGCACCTAATTAGGAGGCGTGCTGCGCAGTGGAGAAACACAACTTCAGAGTGTAAGGGTATGGACCATCTGCAAAGAAGAAGAGAGAAGTTTGGTTGGGTCCTTTGTCTTTGGAGGCTCCCCAAACCCATTTTCCTTCCATTTTGTACCCATCTCCCATTTTCTGCAGGTCAGCTGCAGGGGTCTAGGGAGTGACTGCCCAACATGAGGCTTCAAGACGAGCCAATGATCCATTATGCACGTTTCTCCTTTTCTTCCTTCATTCCAATGGAGAATCCCATTCCTATCTCCTTCTCTAGCCCAAGGCAATGGGCCTCTTACAGCAACCGGATGGGCAAGTTTTATCTGCTGGCTAGAGTTGCCTCTTTCCTAGGTAAGAGTGGCTTTCCTATACCTAAGCCAGTCTCTGATGCAAAGGGAGAATGCCGCCTCCCTGGAGGACAAGCCTGAGCAACTCCCAAGCTGGCAGAGTGGGTGGCAGCAGGTAGTCAGGCTGGCTCTCCCATGGGGAACATAGGCTGCTCTCCTGGTGACCAGGTCCTACCTGCCTGTGTCACCAACAGTGAGAAGATCCCTGGGGTCCTATCTCAAGAGCAGGAAAGATATCCCTGGCCTGAAGCCAGCCAACCCATTAGGTCACCAGGGTGATGCCTGCAGGACACACAGATACTCACTTGG